TCGCGGCGGACCCTCGACGACGCGGAAGAGCGACTCGCTCTTGCGCGGCCGGCGGCCGGCGCGCCGGGACCCGCTCCGCTACGTCTTCGAGTCCTCGGTGCACGCCAAGCGCATGCAAGCCGGCCTCCCACCTCGTGGCCCGCCGGCGGCGTGGTCCGCGGCGGACACCTCGACGACGGCGAAGAGCGACTCGCTCTTGCGCGGCCGGCGGCCGGCGCGCCGGGACCCGCTCCGCTACGTCTTCGAGTCCTCGGTGGCGCGGCGCGGCCGGCGGCCGGCCTCCCGGCCGTCGGCGGACGTGCCTGAAAGGTCTTCAACCCCTGATTCGCGCGCCTCGTCCGTCGATCGTCGCCGCGGAACCGCGTCGATTCCCCCGCAGGCACCCGCAATCTCCACCACGCACGTACTTTCCTGCGGCCTCTCGGACACCCCCCGTGACATCATGATGACGACGTTTCCCCGACTTCTCCTCGCCGCGACCTTCCTGGCGTCGGCGGACGCCTTTGGGTATATCATCCCGCCGGAGACGACCACTACGGCGGCGCCCCCCGTGGAGACGACCACTACGGCGGCGCCCGCCGGAGCGCAGGCGAAGGTGTCGACGTCGCTCTTCATGACGGGGCTCTCGGCCTCGGACGTGAACGAGGACGCGGACGTGCGGGCGGCGCTCAAGGCGACGATCATCTCGTTGGGCGGCTACGACGATGTGTCGAACATCGTGGCCGAGAGCACGTCGACCCGGCGGCGGCTCCAGGACGAGGACGGCGCCAAAATCTCATTCGACGGCACCATCTTCGGGGACGACGTCTCGGCCGCGGAGGACGCGGCGGCCGCGGCGACGAACGCGCTCCAAGAGGCCGTGGAGAGCGACAAGTTCCTCCCAGAGCTTAAGGCGCAGGCCGCCGAGCGGTCTCCCGAGGCAGCGGACGCGCTCGAAGGCGCCGGCGTGGACAAGGAGAAGACGCTCGACGCGCTCGACGAAGCGACCGTTACGGTGGAGGTCGTGACGGCCAAGCCCACGCCCGAGCCCTCGGCCGAGCCCACGCCCAACCCCTCGGCCGAGCCCACGGCCAAGCCCACGGACCTGCCCACGGGCCTGCCCACGGCCAATTCCACGGCCAAGCCCACGGACCTGCCCACGGCCAAGCCCACGGACCTGCCCACGGGCCTGCCCACGGC